CATAAAAATATTTATAATTGAGTATAAACTTATAAAAAACTAATATATATTTGAACGAAGTCGCTCCAACACCGACGTGCGGTCCACCCTCGACGATGTCCGAAAACGGACTGTGACAGAGCTTACATGGCGACGGAGCATGCGCGCTCGCGTAAATATATTCAATTTCAGGGAAAAATTATATATTCTCTTATAAAACGGGTAATAAAAATAAAACTCTCAATTAAAAATATTAATATTTTTAAGACCTTTTTTTTAGTGTAAGAACTATTTAAAAAGCTTGTGCCGTTTTGGAGAAATTTTGCAAAATATGACAAAGATAGGTACTCTTTGGGGATTTTTTTTCTAATAAGGGGTTGACAAAAATACAATTTTGTTAAATTAAAAACATTTACCAAATCTTCTTCTGTTACCCTGTATTTTTTCTTTGTGGATTAAATGAACAGTCATTGAGATTTTTTAACTTAAATATCCTAGATTTAGGCATTTCAACCACTGTTAAGGCCTTAAATGACAGTCTAAGGTGACTCCAAGAAAATTAATGTTATCAAATGTTTCTATTTGGGTGTCTTTATGTGCATTATTTAAATTTAAAGAATTTCTTATTTTTAATTTCTTAATTCTTTATTTTAACAATTAAAAAGTTATATAAACCATTTTAAAGCACCGCACACAGAGGAAACCGAGATAATAGGAAACACTATACTGAACTAGCTGTTCCCCGCGGTATTATTGCCGCGTATATCTCGCGTCTGAGCCGTGCAACATGACATCTTACTTATAGAGGCGTTCATTGCTAGTTTCTCTCGGTTCTCATCGGCCTTATCGCTTAGAAGTGATTGCTACCAGGCAATCACGTTACAGAGGATACAATGACCTGTGAGAAAGGGTAAGGGTGTACGTAAGTTGTTAGAAAATATGCAAGAAATAAATATAATTATTACATATACTCGATAAATACATACATAATAATGTAATAAATAAATATATTTCAATTACAAAAATATAGACATACATATACAGAGCAGAAAAGATTAAACAAGTAAGTGAAATAAAAGACTCAATGTAACGAAAAATAAGTAGTAATTTTAAAAGTACGATATAAAGGAAAGATTGAGGAATGACTGTTTAAAGGAGGAAAGAAATGCGCTTTGACAAGATTTTTTAAACTTGTCAGTAGATTATACACTTCCAACGTGTAGCGGTAAGAAGTCCCAAAGCCGAACAACTTCAATAGAAAATGATTTAGAATAGAAGGAAGTATTATGGGACAGAATTTTTGGGGTGCAGTTTTTATCAGAGCGAAGTGAGCGAGAGTGAGTGTCACTAAGAAACTCAAACCACTCTTTAAGGTAAGCAGGAGAAGTGAGATTTAATAGAATACAGTATAAAAAAGAAAGAATATGAGTGTTCCTGCTAAGACGGATCGGAAGCCTTTTGTTAGCCAAAGGATTATATTTAATGAAACGTAATAAAATAAACCACTCACTGATAAATCACACCCATACGAAGCACTGATAAGTATGTAAAGCAGGGGTTTCTTTGACTCCTCCGTTAAAGTAAGAGCAAATGAGTAAAGAAACAGTACCGAGGCAAAGCTTCTAAGGAACTGTCAAAATTTTTACCTATTTTAGGAGGATAAAATTAAATAAACAAAAAGTTTATCAGCATTTTAATAGATACTTAAGATGTAATATTTTTTAAAAACTACATATTCTAAATATTTTACTTTTATAATTATTGTTCTTCAATAATTAGTTGTGGCAAATGGTAAATTCTAAATTTTATGTAAAGTTTTTTTTTTAATAATATATTGGAAAGCACTCGCATTTCACAACAAATATAAACTCTTGCACACTTTTTAATACTTCACTACCAATATTTACAATCTTTCTTTCGAGATCAAAATATTCGTGAAATTTTTGCTCAAGCAATTGAATAAACACGATAAATTGTCAGGAAGTATCTTAAAAAACCCGATTAAACAAATCTTTATAAAAATCCTTGTAATGGCTGAAAAAAGAATCTTTTCCCATATTTTTAGGTTGTTCAAATCTATTAACGTACAGTTTTATTTTCTCACATTTCTGGCGTTTGAGACAACATTTTCTATACAAATATCGCCTACTGTTAACGGCGTTAGACGTAGTCCCGAAATCATGGAAGCTTTTGTCCACCCGATCCCTAAAAAGGCGACCGCTCAGACCCGTCCAACTACAGGCCTATCGCCATCACCTCCTTGTTCTCCAAAATAATGGAATCCATTATTAACTGCCAGCTCATGCGGTACCTTGAGGATCACCAGCTAATTAGTGACCGCCAATACGGTTTTCGTCGGGATCGATCAGCTGGTGATCTTCTGGTCTACCTGACTCATAGATAGGCGGAGGCAGTAGAGTCCAAGGGGGAGGCATTGGCCGTTAGTTTGGGCATAGCGAAGGCCTTCGGGTTTGGCACAAAGCGCTTCTTTCGAAGCTTCCTTCCTATGGGCTTCCTGAGAAATTGTGCAATTGGATCACTAGCTTCCTTGCAGATCGAAGCACCAAGGTCTTTGTAGACGATGCATGCTCCGACTACATGCCTATTAACGCTGGTGTTCCACAAGGCTGTGTGCTACCACCAACGCTGTTTCTTCTGCATATCAATGATATGTTGCTAACTGGTAACATTCATTGCTATGCGGATGATAGCACTGGTGATGCTTTATACACCGGCCGTGCCAATATTTCTCGGGAAAACGTCGCCGAGTGCCGGAACAAACTTGTGTCTGAAGTCGAGACTTTGCTGAATAAAGTCTCGGATTGGGGGCGACTAAATCTAGTCCAGTTTAATCCTCAGAAGACACAATTTTGCGGATTTACCGCTAAAAAGAACCCCTTTGTCGTATCTCCTCAGTTTCAAGGCACTCCCCTTTTTGTCGCGGTCAGTATCGGAATCCTCAGGGTCGACATATCGAGTGACGTGCAGTTTCATGGTCACTTGGAAGAGAAGGCCAAATTGGCCTCTGAAAAGCTTGGCGTGCTCAGCAGAGCGGGACAGTATTTCATGCCGGCACACCGCTTGCAACTTTACAAGGCACAGGTTCGGCCTCACATAGAATACTGTTCCCATCTCTGGGCAGGGGCTCCCCAGTGCCAGCTCCATCCACTTGACCGCATCCAGCGCAAAGCGGCTCGAATCGTCGACGACCGAGTCCTTTTTGATCGGCTCGATTCATTGGCATTGCGAAGAGATGTTGCATCACTTTGCATTTTCTTTCGCATTTACCACGGGGAATGCTCTGTGGAATTGTTCGGATTAATCCCAGTCACCAAATTTCACGAACACACATCACGGCAGAACTCCCGATACCATCCAGACCATCTGGATGATTGGCGGTCCACCACTGTGCGATTTAGAAGATGTTTTCTTCCTCATACAACTCCCTTGTAGAATCGATTACCATAGGCGATTTTTCCGGACCGATACGACTTAGGGACCTTCAAGAAAAAAGCCTACTCCTTTTTAAAAGGCCGGTAACGCATCTGCAAATCCCCTGGTTCTCTTGGTGTTGCAGTTGTCCATCGGCGGCGGTAGTCACTTACCATCAGGTGAGCCGCATGCTCGTTTGCCCCCTCTCCTATAAAAAAAAAACTATATCTCCAACGGAAAGACATAAACACAGATGAGGCGCGATGGCGGCGCGGTGGTGGCATCGTGTACAGGAGCGCTTAGTGTAGAAAAATCTACAAGACTAACCAATTTTGACTGCCTATTATTGTTGCTTTAGTTTTTGATGGATTTAATTTAAGACCTATGACTTACTCCAATCCACAGTTAAGTCAAGATCTTTATTTAATAAGCCTATAGTTTTGGGTAAATCCATCAATTTAGCATACACTTTGACATTGTCTACATACAAGTGATTGCGAGAAAATAATTGGAGCGTAATCGAACTTATGAAGATTAAAAAGAGGAGAGGAGATAACACGCCCCCTTGCGGTACACCGGTATTGATCGTACATCAGTTGGAGAACGAGTCATCAACAAGTGTCCGTTGCCGGCGACCTAACAAGTAACTATAAAATCAGTCAATCACTTCAGGAGATACGTTAAGAGAAGCTAAGATAGCTAACATTAGTTCGAAATCGACATTGTTAATTGCATTGTTAAAGTCAAGTAAGTTCAACACTGTTACGTGCTGTTTATCCATACCATGCTTTATTATATTACTGTAGATTCTATCTCACTCTCTCGTAGGCCTATCTAATAGATTTATATAGGTACTTGTCGCTTTTTCGTTCTTGAGTTTCAAATCACAACGATGCTAAAGAAGTGTTCACTTCAAAAAATCCAGTATCGACACGTAACTTGATAATATATTGAACGCTACGATAGAGCCCAAATCATAGGTCGTCAGGCGGTATATAATTATTTTATCATTTTCCCTTTAGCTCACGAGTACATTTATAGTGACACAATATGGTATTTTCACACAGTGGCTAACTACTTTGCCAGAAGTAAACCTACAGATTTCTGAATGTCTACTTTTCTTTCTGAGCAGTAAACAGGTAGGTAGGTAGAATCATCGTAGTAGATGATTTTTTTTTATAGGATAGGGTGACAAACGAGCACACAGTCCACCTGATAGTAAGTGGTTGGTGTGGCCCATAGACATCTACATATATCCTCGTTTGCGAATCAAAATGTAGATGCGTTGTCGCTCTTGAGGACTAAGATGGAATGCCTATTTTCCAGTAAAAAGGGTATCCGGTTCTTTACACTCACCATACGAAACACAGCAGTGTTAAGCTGCTATTTAACGCTGGTATTTTGTGAGAGCGTGGTCCTTCCCCGGTCGGGCCGAACCATTAAGGCTACAAGTATACTACTAATATAGCTGCAGCATGGCTCTACCACGTTTAAATGTGTCTCATTCCTTCGATGTTTCTTACATGTTTCTTTAGCTTATAGTAGTAATAATAAAAAAGGCTGAATAATATTCTTATTTTTTATTTAAATTAACGACGGAAATAGTAGGAGTAGGGGGCAGCGTATGTGTATGGAGAATATGCTACTGGCGCTGTGTAGGCTGAGTAGGCTGGATAGGCCAAAGGCGCAGTGTAAGCAGCAGCCACAGGTGCAGTGTACGCCGCCGCTACAGGAGCTGTATAGGCTATCGGAATCACGCCGGGCTTGGCAGCGGCTACGGCGAGGAAGCATGCGAAGATGAACTGTAGGAAATTATAAAAAATATTTATGTTAATGATATATCAAACAAAAACTTGGATCTTTTCCATATGATTAAAAATATATTTTCATTAATTTATTTAATAAAACTTATAATTATTAATTAATTTAATATTAATATTATATTAATTTATTATTAATTATAAATTTTTTAATATCAAAAATTCACTGCTGAGTAAGCCTCCCGATAAATTGCCTCGTAGGGAACAGCCACGTTTGAATTATTTGTTCGAAACCAAATGAAGCAAATTTATTTCATAAATAAGTGTATTAGTTATATACACAAAACCTTTATATCATCTTTATTAAAAGTAAAAGTTGGATGTTAAAGTGAATGAATTTTTAAGGGTTTTTTCATTAAATGGTAATGAAAGTATTATATATATATAGTAACACTTACCAATTTGAACATTTTGGATATTGTAAAATTCACCAATTGATATCAAAGACTTATAGACAAATGATGTTGAATACAATGCTTCGAGGCATTTTATACTAAAGGTTCTATGAAGAAACAATTCACGACGCACGATTTGAATACAAATTCGTTGCAGCTAACAACATTCGAAGACTCTTGAAAGCCCGCCAAAATATTTAATTTAATCATGTCTTCATTATTTTTGTGAATAACATAGACAAAGGGAAATCGTAAAAATTTTCTTCTTAAACTTCTAAAAGTCAATGACTCTATAATATTATGAAGCAAGATATGAACGGAGTTCACTAACATTGTAATATAAAATTAATGGTGTAGGTATTGTGAAAAACTGATTGTCTGTTGTAGGTTTCTTATGCATCTTATCTCTCTGACAGGACATACAAAAATATCAATAAAAACTAATATAAAAGAACACAATATAATTGACGTAAATCATTAATGCTTAGGGATATTTGCAGTCTGTGAATACGTTCAGGATCGTCGTGTGGTTTATCGAATCACATCAGATTTGATAAACCACAAATCCTTGCAAAAGAAAACTGATTTCTTTCAAGGATTATTCGCAGGATTATTAAAATAATAATAATAATATAAATTATATTTTTATATTATATTATTATTAATATATTATATAATTTTTAATTATATATAAATTAAAAATTTTGTGCAACCGACTTCAATATAAATTACTAAGAATAACTTAAAAACCATTGGTCAAACCTTGATCAAATTTTATATAGAACCTCATAAGAAAGCTTGTAATAAAAAAAAGAATCATTGAAATCGGTTCACGCAGAAAAAGTTATGAGGTTACACACATAAAAAAAAACATATAGTCGAATTGAGTACCGTCTCCTTTTTGAAGTCGGTAGAAAAAATAAACATCTGAGCGCAAGCATACGACAACAAACCTTCAAGACTGAAAATTATTAATTTAGAAGTAGCCGGGGTTAATTATGACATTGGAAAGTTTGTATTTTTTACAAAAACTGCTGGTCCAAGACATTTGGGGTAAAGACTGTTTCCTATTCCCATTATAGCGTGTAGTGGTTTATTACTGAACATAGGCCTCCCACATAGATTGCTTTATAGACGAGATTTTGCCATAGTTGCCGCGCTGGGCATGCGGATTAGCAACCGCATATTTCATAGTTTGTAGTTGTTGTCAGAAAAGATGTTGTTGCCCATCTCCTGTTCATTGTCGCCTCATATGACACCCACGGAACGTTATAGCGTAGTGGACGTTCTTACACCGTCACTACATGGTTAAGAGACTGTTTTAATTTCGATTAAATGTGTAAAACGATGATTATACTTAGTTAACATGATAAATATTTGTACAAACGAAGTTTTGCTACATGTACGAGTACTTTTAATGCTTCCTTTTCTGTTATTGCAAGTTAATCTAATTGATAGACCATGGCGTTGCATGCTTTTTTTAAACTCTCTGAGAAAAACAATTCCATTATTCCATACGGCCATATTGCGTAATTCAATAAAGTTATACGATTGACGCCGCGTACGTCATGGGAAGTTTCAGGAGGTATGATATTTTTAGACTTAAGCAACACATCATTCATCATTATACTGCTAGACCTTCTTCACGAATCAGTTTTCTCGGAAAAATGAATACTGCTTATCATGTAACGTGCCCAACATGTTTTCATAGAAGTAAAAGTAAATATGGTAAGTGGACGTCACGGCCCATAGATACCTACACCTATTCTCGAATAAGAATCAAAATTCAGAAGATGTGATGTCACCATAGACAACTAAGGCAGAATACGTCCGCAAACAGGCTCCTTAAATAAATGTGATCGTAATCAAATCGACCAAGTCGTGCTTGGTCGTCGTGCAAAAACATATTTTTATTTTAAGTCCACGTCTATGATTTTTGATGACTAAACTAACATCTCATCTTATTGTCATTGGAGCATGGAAAACTATAAGCAATGGTAGTTTGAATGCTAATATTAAGTTTTTGGCCTTTATTTTGCTTGTTCCGTAATAACTTATTAATAATGCTAAATAATTTGATAATGATAATTTCGAAATTTCAGTTTAAATTAATAACATTCTAAAAACGTATTTCCATTTAGGTTAGGAAAAAAATTATCCACTCATACTATCCTTTATAAATTAAAACAAACAATTATTGATGTCAAACTGACATAAAAACACTAAAATACATGAAAACAATGATATTGATATAAACATTTCCATCTTTAAAAATTACTATGTTAAGGTTCATCTTATGGAGGCCATTATTGCTACATTTTAGCAATTACTGAGTCAATCAGAATATTAGACCATATCATACCGTGGGTGTCGTAAGAGGCAATAGAGAGAAACAAATCAGGAGATGGGCAGCAGTGTTTTCCTATTAATGACTAAAAATAAAAAAACTGCTGTTGCCAACGGGCTTGCCAAGCGTGGCAACTATGACAAATACAACAATCTATGGAAGAGGCCTATGTTCAGCAGTGGACTTTAATAGGACGTAATGGTAACGGTATTGTTTACGGGAGATGACAGAATAGAATAATTTTATTTAATATGAGGGTAGGCCATTTAAGATTTGGAATTTGAATCGGCTCTAAAAAAATAGAATGAATATTTTTTCAAAGTCCTTTATTAGAAAGATTAAACCTTCCCATTTTGCAATGGAAGACAACTTTTCGGCGGTAGGTGAATAAAAAGTTACACATATTTACGCTTTGAGATCTTATTTTAAATTAATTAAAACAATAATTTACTGTAAATTATATAATTTTTGGGTGCTTGAGTCCATAAATATACAGTATTTACGTAAATTCAACAGTGTATATGAGAAGTGATTCTTATTAAAGACTCTACCTGCCAGCATGTCACACTTACATTACATATTTGAGTTTTATTAATACATTGCATTGTTACTTAATTGGGCACTATATAATGTCTCAAATTGAGGAGATTAAAAGCGCACAAAATAGCCTGGGGGAATGCTTCTCTAAGAGAATGTCCGAACTAGAAGCACTACAATCTGAGGGACCCGCAAAGGAAGGAGAACTTGAGTTCTCCATGCTAGGTCTGCTTCGCAAGCAAATTAATGAGTGCTCCCGCATGGTTGATGTCATTGAGACCAGCCCTCATTTTCTTGGGAATCGCCGAAGTGGATAAGGAGGACTGCAAGGCTGACTCCACAAGATTTAACTGAGAGACATAACAGAAATTTCTATTCGTGCTTGTCATAAGATTGGTTTACTCGGTAAGGTAGGTAAGGTTACATGGTAAGGTTTACTCTAGTGTTGAATCTAGATTATCCGTGTGGAGGGCCAAATTCTGGCTTAAAGCTAAAGAGCATGCTTGACTCAGGATGGCGTAATAGTGGTTAAAGCTGCTGATGGGACTAGGTACAAGATAACCACAACGGATGAGCTGAACTCTCTTACACTGAAATATCCTAAGGCAGCAACGGTATCTTCAGGTAGAGGTAAAAGCATCACCAGTAATGAGGGAGAATCGGACTGAAGTCTCGGAAATAATAGATGGTAATCAAAAAGTGTTTTCTTTCCATAATAATATGTTCTTCTTTTTAAGTACTTATATTTTTAGCCTAAAGGCTTAATTTATAATTTTTTAAATCTTAGGTATGTTTTTATCGCTTTCTGCTTATTGTTGTTTCTATATTTTACCTTGTGGTTTTTATCAAAACTACACTTGATAGTCCATATATTAAACTATATCTGATATTAAGTTAACAAATCTGGAATTACTCTGAGACTCAATTAACATTGTTTTATTGTTTTATGTGCATTATCATTGACCTACTGTATTATTTTAAACTATTTGCATAAGATGTAACTTGAACAATGTTTGTTATTATTAGTATTAATATTAACTTTTTGATGTAATATGTAATAGATACTAACCAACTACCTAACAAAATTTTGTTGTCAAACTCACTAAGATACTTCATTGTAATTTGCATAATCTATTATTTTTAATTTTGAGTATTAATTAGGTATTTCGAACTTTTTCTTATCTTTATTTTATTCTATATCTATTTGTATAGTGAACATTCCGCCAATGTATGTGTGTGCTAGCTGGCGGGTGGTGCAAAAATAGCATGGTTTCAAATTTTTTTTGTCCGATATATTTTTATATATAGTTTATTAATTATTGAAAATATTTTTATTACCTATATTATATTTATTGTATTATTTTTATATTAATGTCTTCTGATGAAAATTATTTTTTTCTCTGCCAATGAATCTGTAACATCGTCTAATAACAATAATTTTTGTTCTGCAACTGATACGCTTGGCGATTTCGTGCGGAATACGTTTAATCAGGCGCACTCTTCGTTGAACGTGTGCCATGTCGATGCACAAAGCGTACCCAGTCACTACACCGACCTAATTGAAGCTTTAATTGTGCGATGGCTACCTAGTATTATTGCCTGACAATAATACTAGATAGCCATCGCATAATTAATAAAAACTTTTTAACAAAAAAATTAAACCGCCGAAAAAACTGAAAAGCAAAAAATAATAAACCTTTTTTATTTAACCTTAATAACTAAGTTCTTAAACCAATTTAAGTATACCTAAGTATATATTTTTGTAATTATTTTGAGTTTTTAATTAACCCTAATAACCAACTTCTAAAACTAATGTAAGTATACCTAAGTAATTTTGAGTCGGCGCCAAACAAGCAAATTAATTAATTACGTAAAGCCTTCGATCAACAATACCAACTAGATATCGGGTTGGAGAAAAAAATATGTCCAAGTAAATAACAGCGCACTGGAGACGTGAGCTCTTATTTCGTTTAGTTGATTTGAAACACAGCCAATGTAAACACGTTTCACAATGCCGCAATGTATTTTTAAAAGTTGCAAGAATAATGCCCGAAAAAGCATAAATTGCTTTTTTGGGCATTATTCTTGCAACTTTTGCGTACGTGCAAATGTGCGAGGCCGTCAGCAAAATTCGGCGCGTACGGCGCGTATGGCGCGGAAAAATGTGCGTTCAGCTTTAATGTTTATCGCTGAAGATTTCACGTTGCATTGTTAATTTGATTTTGATTTAGTTATTTCTTTAAATTTAAGGTTATTTAGTGTTCTTTGTTCATCAATTGTTTGGCGCCGACTCAAAATTACTAGGTATACTTACATTAGTTTTAGAAGTTGGTTATTAGGGTTAATTAAAAACTCAAAATAATTACAAAAATATATACTTAGGTATACTTAAATTGGTTTAAGAACTTAGTTATTAAGGTTAAATAAAAAAGGTTTATTATTTTTTGCTTTTCAGTTTTTTCGGCGGTTTAATTTTTTTGTTAAAAAGTTTTTATTTTATACTTTTTCACGGCTATAATCTACTAATTACTACATGCTTAGTTTTTGACTACTTTCAAATTAGCTACCTACCTTAATTTAGCCTTTAACTGTTATATAATCCTACTTTAACTATTATTTGTTGTATAATAATATAAATTCTTTAAAAAAAAACAGGCTTTATATACCACCATGGGTAGGCCTACAAAAATGCTGCTCGAATGAGAAAAAGATATTTAGAAGAATCTAATGATGAGAAAAATAAAAGTTTGGAAGCAAATAGTAAGAGAATTAGATTAACACGTTCACAGGAGTGTTTAAATCAGCGCGAGGAAAGACTGTCGAAGATGAGAAGCTACAATAACGATAGGTTATCGCAAGAATGTGAAGAACAATGCGCTCATCGCTTAGGTCTGATAAGAGAGCGTCTTTCAAATGAAACTGAAGACGAACATTTGCTACGTTTGGATGCTGCTCGTAACTGTTCTGCAATGGTGGTACTTCACGAAACTCCCGAGGAGAGAACGCGATAAGCGGCTTGCGAGCGAAAAAACCAGTGTAATGCAGAAAATTTTAAGAAAGCGATTAATGTTTATGCTGACTTGCCGTGTTCAATATTCGAAAAAAATTTGTATCCTCAGCAACGTACGATATTGCAAACTACAAATTTAGGCTCTATTTTCCCTAATGAATTGAAGAATAGCTTTAAGTAATATTATTACTTGTTCACGATGCTCAAATAATATTAAAAAAACAACACTCCACCGTAGGCCTATTGGAATAAAATGTCGGTAGCTATAATGCCTACAGAAATCGATGACTTATCGGACATTGAGAAACGTTTTATTTGCAGAGTAGGTAGTACCATTTCTTAAAATAATAAAAGTTCAAAATCGTTTGAGCCAAGACTGGTACAAAGGGCAGGCAATTATTTTTGTTTAGGATGTGGTCGAGCTGGCGGAGCAACTTCCGCTTGAACCTAATCAAACTGGATTAGTGATTGTAGTAGAAAGTCGTGAAAATTTAGAACGTTCTAGGGAGTTTCAAATAGATGTATGTAAACTTCAATTAGCATTGCAGTGGCTCCTAATGAATAATGCACTCTATAAAGATGTTCGCACCTGCACATGGTCATAATAGTGAAGAATCAATTGCTGAACGGTCAACTGTACCTACAAATAACTATACTGGCTTGAGTAACAATATATCTATATTATATGATTCTTTTCATCAGGACAATGAACGATTTAGTCCAAAGTCACGTGGTCGGCAATGCACAGGGATTGCAATTGTTACTAGTGTGGCATTTTCTCTGATAAATCCCAATAATTGGTGCAAAAGCGACATAGATTACATGTTATTGGTATGAGATAAATATTAGACTGTATTGCGGCTCGGGCTAACGCCAATTCCGAAGAAGCACATATCGAATATTTAGCTGCAACTGAGCTTTTACCTAATATCACATACAACAATCGAAAAGTTGATATCAATGTTCGTCATGAATCAGCCTTTAATGGTCACGTAGACAACGACAATAGTGAAGAAGGATTTCCCAATTTGTTAAATGCTCTAATAATTGTATTTGCTACATATGAGAAGAAACCTCCAGATAATGTTGTTCCAAAAGATGTGAACAATTGTAGTGGACTTTTATCTGAAGTAAAATTAGCTGTCAAATCTCGTGTGATGTTAAAACGTAACGATCAGTATCTGACGGGCTCGTCAATGGTGCTATGGGTATTGTAAAAATAATAAAATGGCCATCACTACGCAGGGATCAACTAGAGGAAGGAGAATTACCGGATTGCGTATTAGTAAAATTTGACGATGAAAGCATAGGAAGCAGACTAAAAGATAGCGATGGCTGTGTCGCCATACCTTCAGTGGTAGCCACCTTTTAAGATACGAAGGGTAATGGCGATATTGAGCGCAGGATGTTGCCGATAATTTTATGCTGGGCCGTCACGGTTCACAAATTACAAGGTGCAACCCTTGATAAAGCTGTAATCGACCTCGGAAAGAAAGTGTTTGCCAAAGGGCAGGCATATGTGGCACTGAGTAGAGTAAAAACACTTGAGGGTATTGCTATATCTGATTTAGAGCCAAATAAGGTATTACACAAACCTCACGATGAACGAGCTTTAGCAGAAATGCAGAGACTGAGAGGTCTACACACAAGAGACTGACAGCTCTAAAGCTCATTCATCGTGAGGTTTTTTGTAATGTAATGCAATGTAGTGTAATTATTATGTAATGTAGTAATACACCACTCAGAATTAAAATCTATGAGTAAAAAATAAATCTAAACCCTATTTTCCCACCCTTAGGGTAGATATTTTTTTTTCCAAATTTATATGGGACCAATTTCGAGGTATACCCTATCCAATAAAAAAAGAATTATCAAAATCGGACTACTCTGTAAAAAGTTATGCGTGGTTATACATAAAAAAATATACACGTCGACTTGAGAACCTCCGTTTTTTCGTCGGTTAAAAAAAAGGCACTGCAACTCTTCCCGCGATCATTTTCGACGGTTCTGTTTTGGAATTATGTTCTTCTGTTAAGGATCTTGTCTTAAACATTGGCTCCACTCTGAGATAGCATGCCCAAGTGACAAATGTTAGCCAGAAAGTCACCGGTACCTTGCGGGCTCTTTACCGCCTGAAAAACTTCCTTCCTTCCGGACAAAAGCGTTAATTTTGCAATCCTTAATTCTTCCCCTGATTGATTACGGTGATGTGTTATTTTGACCTGAATGCAACCCTTGATAAATATGATCATCCACTTAATAGCTGCATTCGATTCATTTTCAATCTTCGTAAGTATGACCATGTGTGTACTTATCGTTCCCAACTTAATTGGCTTCCCATTCGTCAGTAACGAAGAATGCGCGCACTCACAACCCTATACTCGATTCTGATGTCTCCTACTCACCCCCTTTACTTAACTTCTCATTTTCATTACATTTGCTCTAGCCATGACAGAAACCTGCTTTCTTCGAACAACCTTTTACTACGTTACTAAGTGTCCCTCTCATAAATCAGGCTTCCTGCATTCTTCCTTTACTGTACAGTCTGTTCTCCTCGTCCGCACTCCCTCTTGAAATTAGAACGGCTAATGATCGTTATGCATTGAAGAAGAAAGTTCGTGAACATTACTTGAATAAACTGGCAGAATAATCTCATTAGTAGTACTTATTTGTGTATTTATATAAATATATAATGTATCAAATTTATACTTTTTATGTACATAATTTAACTATAATAGTACGCACGTATTAAATAATTTTTAATGTGTAAGTTTATTTATGAAGAAACAAAGACAACTAAGTAGTAGTAGTATACCAATATATTTAAATCTCTATGTGGGTATATATACTTAAATTTATATTCTTGTCTAGCGTTTCTCACACCTACGTCATATTTTTATCTCTGAATCACCCAAAGGTTGACTGGTAGAGAATGCCCCAGACTTTAAGTCCAAATTTAAATAAATAGATCATTCAAATTTACTGCCACGGCTAGCCTTACAATATCCCATTCGATCAGTCCAAATTTTCAGTACATTTTTTATTGTTTAGGCCTCAATTTCATCAATAACACTTGTCCTTAACGGCTCCCCACAAAAAAGATCATCGCAGTCAAATCGCAGCTTCGAGGTGGCCAATTGACATCAGCATTTCAGTTGATTATACGAAAACAGTGCGCAAAAATCGATTGCTACGTTCGCTGTGTGGCGCGTTGTGCCGTCCTGTTCAAACCAAATATCGTCTATGTCATCCTCTTCAATTATGGAAAACAATAAATTGCTTAGCGTGGCGCGGTAGCGATCGCCATTCGCTGTAACGGCGTTTCTTTACTCATTTTCGAAGAAAAATGACCCAATAATTCCGCCAGACCAAAATCCGCCGCATCAGTCACTCGTTGTGGACGCATTGGTTTCTCTACTATAACGTATGGATTTTATGAGCCCCAGATACGACAATTTTGCTTATTGACGTGTATCCTCCCAGGTGGAAATGAGTTTCTTCTGAAAAGATAAAATGCTCATCCTCGATCAAGCGGTCTTCGGCCTATTGGGCAAACCGAAATCGCATCCAATGGTCATGTGCCTTTCACTAATTGAACTTTGTATGTCTTTATACCGAGATCTTTACTCGTACGCAAAATTCTTCTCAAAAAATTGCGTTAAATGTTCAATTCTTGAGAACGATGACGAGCTGATGTTGATGGTTGTTCACGCACACTCTGAGCAACAGCAGCGATGTTTTTGGTTGAGCAAACTGGACAAGTACGTAAACGGGATGTTTTATCCAACAATAATACAGTTTCACGAACTCACTTCACAAATTGATCCACAAACTGAGTTTTACAGTTTGAGTAGAAGACCCGCTTTAGAAGTAAGTTTTTAATATTTCCCAACTTTGTTCTGTCACATCGGAAATGTCATCAAACCTTCCAAACTCAAAATAACCTATAGTTCCAATTCCAAACGTTAGATGGCCCATGCTGTACGTTCCAAGAATACTTAACCACTATGCATTTACAAGTAGTAAAATATTAATTTACATTATAGTGTGTCGTATAATTATATTTACTCTAATGAAATAGGATATGTAATGAAACCTTTAGTGAAAGGCGATTCATTGATGATAAACACATACTGTATAATTGAGTGGAGGGTCGCCCTACACCTCGCTTACCAGTACGAGGTTGCCACTCTAAAAACTTTCTTCCACATCGGTTGGCGGTTCTACGAGCTATTTGCTCATTGCCACTTCAGCTTAATGATCTATTTGTTGGGTTATGTAGGTTACTCTGGTTCTACTGCGAACATCTTTATTACGCTATAGCGTAGAAAAAATTCAAAGCTTAGCCGACTCCAAACCTCGCAGAGCGACCTTAAACTTCCTCATACGTGTAGCCGTGAAGGACCACGTCTCAGATCCTTATTTAGACCACGTCAAGCAATACACACTGGTAAGAAATACGTGACGACAAAATGTGTCGTAATGTAACACCGATGCCCAGCCGAATTGGATCTGTCGATTCACCTCTTGGTCGAAGTTAGTCTTACATAGTCGGACGATTTGTCGCATAGTGTAGCGTTTCTAGCAACTAATGTCGTGGGTATGATATGAAAATTAACACATGACTTTTGTTCTAATTATGTTCATATTTTAAAATTTCCCTTGAGATGCACTAAAGAGAACAAATTCAATCGTTGCATGTGTTTCGGGGCCATGTTTTTGAGATTTTGCGCGGTGGCTTATGTTCACAAGTAAACTTATAAAAGATTGTTATGTTGATCATTTTATATTCATTATAGACTATCAAATGTCCACTGCTGAACATAGGCCCTCCACGAAAGATTGCGACATAGAAGGATACTTGGCATAGTTGCTACGTTTAACAGGTTTTTTTTGCTACCGCAGTTCATTTTATTAGTTTAAATTGATATCAGGAAACTACCCATTATCTGTTTTAATTTTCCTAGCCCCTTACGAAACCCACGGGATAATATGGGGTACTGAACTTTCTTACGCCACCACTACACGCTTATGATGATGACGACGAGTAACTATATTAAGAATTATTGTTTACAAGAATTTTTTTAATTCTTTTCTTATAAATCTTAAAAATTGGTACTACGGTAAACAAAGAACACTTTCATTTATACGTTTTCCTTCTACATTCTCCATAGTCACAAAGAAATTGTTAAATGATTTAGAAACGTCTTGTAATATAAAAAAAACATAAATTATATTATTCAGTATATTGCAAATAACAATAAATATTATTCTCTTTTAGATTGATTCAACGGCGGAGGAAGTATGCTGAGTAAGGGGCTGCGTAGATGTAAGCTGAGTGTAGATAGGAGTATGCAAATTTATAACAAACTTGGCAGAATGATGTAAAAAAATTATACAGGATACTGTAATTAAAGAAATTAATTGTACATAAGTTACTCTATTTTTTATTTTTCAATAAATAAATAAGATTTAAGGTCAACGGCGGAGGTAATAAGAGTAGGGAGAGGCGTAAGTGTATGCTGAATAAGCTAGGGGCGCGGTGAGTAAGGGGCTGCGTAGATGTAAGCTGAGTGTAGATAGGAGTATGCAAATTTATAACAAACTTGGCAGAATGATGTAAAAAAATTATACAGGATACTGTAATTAAAGAAATTAATTGTACATAAGTTACTCTATTTTTTATTTTTCAATAAATAAATAAGATTTAAGGTCAACGGCGGAGGTAATAAGAGTAGGGAGAGGCGTAAGTGTATGCTGAATAAGCTAGGGGCGCGGTGTAAGCTGAGTAGGTGGAGTATGCGAGGGGTGCAGTGTACGCTGCAGCCACAGGTGCAGTGTACGCCGCCGCTACTGGTGCGGTGTACGCAACGGAGTAGACGCCAGGCTTGGCGGCAGCCAAAGCGAGGAAGCACGCGAAGATAAACTGTAAAAAAGTGTGTTTTCTTTATAAAATTCAATTTAAAAAAATAATTGCGAGCGTATAAAAACATTGTTAAAGTTTTTATTCTAGTGATTTTTTTAAATATCTGTTTGACATTTAATAATTCCCGAGTATGTTTACGCAGCTAAACATAAGCCTCCCTATAGACTGCCTCATAAAGAGGATATTTGCTATAGTTTGGTAACTGTTTTTTTTATTATTTTTTTTGATGTTATTAGGATAGCGCTTCTTCTGCGCATTTCCTAGTTTGTTTTACTTTGTCGCCTCTTACAACACCCACGGGACGATATGGGTGGTTGATATTCTTAAACCACCACTACTTGGTCATCTCATTTCTTCAAGATTTGTTGCATTAACTTAATTTGTAAAAAAAACTTAACTATGTTAACAAATATATAGTTAAAAAATTGTAACGTAATCCGCCCCGATTCTACAAAAATGGGAGAGATTTTATAATATTTTTAATTTAATTCACTAAAACGGAATATGAGAAAATAAATCGTCTGCAGATTTTTTTTACTTACCAATTTGAACATGTTTTTAACGGTTTATTGGATTGTAATTGTACAAATACACGCAAAGCAGTTGCAAATGTGATATTCAACGATGTTTGTCGATTCCTTTTATACTTAGAGCTTTTGTGTGATGGCCTTGCAGTTTACTTGCCCGGAATACCGAATTCAGAATTCGAGCGTGTTGATGATAATAACCAATGAGGCTGAAGACTATCAAAACAATTTTTTTAATCGATAGATAAGTTAAAAATTATCATAAACCAACAATACGTATTTTGAAACATTAATTAATATAATTAAGTTTTTTTATTATAGTTTTTTAATATTGTATATAATAAAATATTGTATATCATGTTATGTTTATAAATATCTGTAAACAATTTATATATTACATCCTATTAAATTTAGAATTCTTGAATGCTCTTGTAGATCTTTATCTTCATTTTGAGATATTAGTGTTATTAGAAGAGAAATTAGTTAGTCTTTTGGATTTTACAGCTTCATTTGATAATGCCCTTGCATATTGCCGTTCAACTAAATTTATACATATTTTATAGCTAAGGCGACAAACAGTAGATGGGGTACTGCTTTGATAAAGCATACAAGGAGGATGGATGGAGACACTTAAAATCGTGTATAATGATGATCTATAGTGGAGGGATATATTTAGCTATGGACTTTAGATGGGTTTCAAGGATGATAATGAAATTTAAGAATATATGTAGGATGAGTGCGTGGCGGTGCATCGTTTCGTATAAACCTTAAATGTGAGACATATGTAGGCTGTAAGTTCATTAATTTTCAAGAGTATAATTGTGTTAAGCCTAATATTAGGTCCTTACACATGAAATTAGCATTTTGTCGTACTGACCACTTTGATCTAAAATATCTCCTCTTTGCTTATTAATTCCAAATTCAAATTTATAAATTCATTAAGCATGTATATTTGAGTTTTTAAAACAGTCATTCATTTGTTTTTTTCTTAATATTTTTTCTTTGGCGTCGCTTATTATCACACAATGGAAAACATGAATTATCGGTATATTTACGAGTACGAGTTCTACCGTGGCACTAGTGCTGCCGAACAGCTCGAAGGATTAATGATGTGTACGGCGCTGGTGTAGCAAAAGAAAGCACGATACGTTATTGGTTTCAACGGTTTCGTTCTGGAAATTTCGACCTTCAGAATCCATGAATTGTGATCCATCACAAAGCACTTAAAAGATAGCTGCAGGCTTCGGGGTAAGTGATGAAACGGTATTAATCCACATGATATAATATTATTCTTAATAAAATATTCATTTTAATCCACATGATATGGATTATACGTGGTAGAGCCATGCTGCAGCTATATTAGTAGTATAGTTGTAGCACGAATGGGTCGGCTCGACCGGGGAAAAACCACGCTCTCACAGAATACCAGCGTAAAATAGCAGCTTAACACTGCTGTGTTTCGTATGGTGAGTGTAGAGAACCGGAGACCCTTTTTACTGGAAAAGAGGCATTCCATTTTAGTCCTTACGGGTGACAACATGGATGTCTATGGGTCACAGCAACCACTTACCATCAGGTGGGCTGTGTGTTCGTTTGTCGCCTTATCCTATAAAAAATAAACTTGAAGCAAATCGGGAAAGTAAAAGAACTTGAATGATAGGTACCTCATGAATTGAGTGAATCGAACTTGCAAACACGCGTTGACTGCTGTGTTACTTTGCTCAACCGTCACAATATTGAAGGGATTTTAAATCGAATCATTACTTGTGATGAAAGAGGATACTGTACGATAATTGGAAGCGCTCGTTGCAATGGCTGAACCCCGGAGAACCAGCCAAAACCTGCCCTAAACGAAAATTGACTCAGAAAACTTACTTGTGAGTGTTTGGTGGACTAGCGCTGGTGTCTTTCACTACAGCTTTCTAAAATCTGGCCAAACGATTACGGCGGATGTGTATTGTCAGCAATTGCAAACCATGAAGGAGGAACTAGTTGCTAAACAACCGAGATTGGTCAATCGCTCTAGGCTACTGCTGCTTCACGACAACGCAAGACCACACACTGCACAACAAACAACCACTAAGTTAGATAAGCTACAATTGGAATGTCTGCGACATCCTATGTACTCCCCGGACCTTGATCCAACATATTACCATTTTTTCCGGAATTTGGACAACTTCTTACAGGGAAAAAAATTCAACTCCGATGCGGCAGTCGAAATCGCCTTCAAAGAGATTATTGATTCTCGCTCCCCATGGTTTTTTAGTAAAGGGATCAATAAACTACCTATGAGATGGCAAAAGTGTATAGATAACAACTTTGCACACTTTGATTAATTAAATATATTTTACAAAAAAAATCTTTATATTCCTCCCGTATAAAACGCCAATTTCATATGTAAGGACCCAATATTTGCTGTTTCCTACTACCTAACCTAGGACGAGCTAATATATAAATAGATTCCGTTCCGTTCCGTAATAGGATAATAAAAACCACTGCTGAACATAGGCCTCTCCCATAGATTGCCTCATAGGGGGGATTTATGCCATAGTTGCCACATGGCAAGCAAACTGGCAATCGCAGATTATTTTATTTTTAGGCGTTATAACGACGCTGCCGCCTATCTGATTAGTTACCCTCTGTCGTCTTTTAAGAAACCCACGGGATGATATAGGCTAGTGGAAATTCTTAAACTACCACTACACAGTAAAAACTATCAATTGTATTTTATTATCCAAACTATTGAAATATTGTATAATATTCATTATCTCCATTTTCATCATTACAGCCATCATTACAAATCCAGTTGAACATAGTCCTTCCCCAAGTAATGCTTCAACGTACGGTCCTGAGCCACCTGCATCTATCAACTTCCTGCATATCTTACCAGGTCCTCATTCCATCTAGTAGGAGGAGTTTATACTCTAATGGAAACTTTCTTTCATGATATTGGATACAAAGGCAGCCTGTGGGTTTCGTATACGATACGAGGTAATAACATCCTTGGAATAATATATGCGTTCAGGATGCTGTTGTTGCAGCCGAAGTATTGCAGCACATCGGAGATTTATATTGACGAGCGTATTGAAGGTTTTCATAAAATGTAACGACAAAATGTAGCGTCCCTGCTTCATAGAGTCCGCGAAAGCAACATCAGCATTCTGAAAATGTTTAGAAGCTGATGTGACTGCCCGTTGCAGAAACACTGAGTGGCAGATGCTATTAGGCTTGAGTATATATAATTCGCAGTGGTATAATTTTAGTAAAAGTGAAAGAAAGCCAAATTACGTCTATTCAATGTTTTTCTACGTGTTAAATTCTGTACTTTATTGAGATCCCTGATTGACGGCCGTGCTATTATTCCACGGTTTAGGTGGATCGTCGTGCAGTTTATTATATACTAGCAATTGTTATTATGACTTCGCCCGCGTTGAGTTATTTTTCGCGGAACCCTAAAATAAAAGCAGCCCAAGTTACTCCTTATGACATCAACTATGCCAGAGTGTGTAAATATTGACAAATATTGACATTAATATTTATACGATACTAACGTCACTCAATTGTTTTGCCTTCCCGGAAACCCTCCACTAACACTTAAACTTTATGATATGGTATTAAAGTTCAAATTAATTATTAAGTATTATTGCGAATCTTTTGTATGGGAATAAAGAAAAGTGTTGTTTCTAGACTTTTTCAGGCAATTTTTTAAATATTTCTCTCCGTAAGAACCATCTTTGTACTTCAAGGAAAATTATGAAAAAAGAATTAGCGAAATCGGTTCAGCTGCTCTCGAGATTTGCGCTAAGGAACACATTCAGCGATTCATTTTTATATTATAGATAATATTATACCGAAAACGCATCCGATGGTCATGTGGCTTCAGCTCTTGCACTAATTGAACTTTGTATGTCTTTATACTGAGACCTTCACTCGTATGCAAAATTCTTCTCAAACAATTGCGTGAAATTTTCAATTCTTGAGAACGATGACGAGCTGATGTTGATGGTTGTTCACGCACACTCTGAACAACAGCAGCGATGTTTTTGGTTGAGCGCACTGGACAAGTATGTAAACGGGTTGTTTTATCCAACAATAATCCAGTTTCACGAACTCAATTCACAAATTGATGCACAAACTGAATTTTTGGCACATCATTTTTGTCATATATTTTTCGTAAATTTTTTACAGTTTGAGTAGAAGACTCACCACTTTGGAAGTAAGTTTTTAATATTTCCCAACTTTGTTCTGTCACATCGGAAATGTCGTCAAACCTTCCAAACTCAAAATAACCTATAGTTCCGATTCCAAACGTTAGATGGCCCATTCTGTACATTCCAAGAATACTTAACCACTATGCATTTACAAGTAGTAAAATATTAATTTACATTATAGTGTGTCGTATAATTATATTATTCTAATCAAATAGGATATGTAATGAAGCCTTTAAAGGGCTTTTCTCATAAATACTTAAAAAGTCGATTCATTGATGAGAAACAAATACTGTATAATCGAGTGGAGGGCCGCCCTACACTTCGCTTACCAGTACGAGGTTGCCACTCTAAAAACTTTCTTCCACATCGGTTGGCGGTTCTACGAGCTATTTTCTCATTGCCACTTCAGTTTAATGATCTTTTTGTTGGGTTATGTATGTTGCTTCGGTTCTACTGCGAACATTTTTATTACGCTATAGCGTAGAAAAAATTCATAGCTTAGCCGACTCCAAACCTCGCAGAGCGACCTTAAACTTCCTCATACGTGTAGCCGTGAAGGACCACGTCTCAGATTCTTATGTAGACTACGTCAAGCAATACACACTGGTAAGAAATACGTGATGACAAAATGTGTCGTAGTGTAACAACGATGCCCAGCCAAATTGGATCTGTCGATTCACCTCTTGGTCGAAGTTGGTCTTACCTAGTCGTAGTCGTAGGTACTAATGCCGTAGGTATGATATGAAAAGTAACACATGACTTTTGTCCTAATCATGTTCATCTTTTAAAATTTCCCTTGACAAGCACTAAAGAGGTCACAAGATGGTGGGGAAATCTGACAAAACATGCAAAAATTTAATCGTTGCAGGTGTTTCGGGGTCATGTTTTTGACATTTTACGCGGTGGCTTATGTTCACAATTAACTTATAAAGGATTGTTCTGTTGATCATTTTTCATTCATTATAGCCTATCAAATGTCCACTGCTGAACATAGGCTATCCCCGAAAGATTTCAACATAGAAGGACACTTTGCATAGTTGCTACGTTTAACAGTTAGGTTTGCTACCACAGTTCATTTTATTAGTTTAAATTGATATCAGTAAGCTACCTATTATCTGTTTTAATTTCCCTCGCCCCTTACGAAACCCACGGGATAATATGGGTTAGTGAATTCTCTTACGCCACACGCTTATGGTGATGAAGACGAGTAACTATTTTAAGAATTATTGTTTACAAGAATTATTGGTATTACGGTAAACAAAGAACACTTTCATTTATACGTTTTCCTTCTATATTCTCCATAGTGACAAAGAAATTGTTAAATGATTTAGAAACGTCTTGTAATATAAAGAAAAAAAAAACATAAATTCTATTGTTCAGTACATTGCAAATAACAATAAATATTATTCTCTTTTAGATTGAATCAACGACGGAGGAAGTATGCTGAGTAAGGGGCTGCGTAGGTGTAAGCTGAGTATGCAGCAAGGGGCGCAGGATAGGAGTTTGCAAATTTAGCACAAACTTGGCTGATTGATGTAAAAAAATTATACAGGATACTGTAATTAAAGAAATTAATTGTACATAAGTTACTCTATTTTTTATTTTTCAATAAATAAATAAGATTTAAGGTCAACGGCGGAGGTAATAAGAGTAGGGAGAGGCGTAAGTGTATGCTGAATAAGCTAGGGGCGCGGTGTAAGCTGAGTAGGTGGAGTATGCGAGGGGTGCAGTGTACGCTGCAGCCACAGGCGCAGTGTACGCCGCCGCTACTGGTGCGGTGTACGCAACGGAGTAGACGCCAGGCTTGGCGGCAGCCAAAGCGAGGATGCACGCGAAGATAACCTGTAAAAATATAGTTTTCTTCATAAAATTTAATTTAAAAAAATAATTGCGAGCGTATAAAAACATTGTTAACGTTTTTATTCTAGCGATTTTTTAAAGATCTGTTTGTCATTTAATTATTCCAGACTATGTTTTCACAGCTAAACATAAGCCTCCCCATAGGCTGCCTCATAAAGGGGATTTTTGCTATAGTTTGGTAACTGTATTTTTTTATTTTCTTAATGTTATTAGGATAACGCTGCTTCGGCGCATTTCCTAGTTTGTTTTACTTTGTCGCCTCTTACAACACCCACGGGATGATATGGGTGGTTGATATTCTTAAACCACCACTACTTGGTCATCTCATTTCTTCAAGATTTGTTGCATTAACTTAATTGGTAGAATAAAACTGAACTATGTTAACAAATATAAAGTTAAAAAATTGTAACGTAATCGTATCCGATCCAAAAACAATGGGAGATATATTTCAATATTTTTAATTTATATAATAAATAAATTAAACGGAATATTAGAAAATCAATCGTATGCAGATTTGTTTACTTACCAATTTGAACATGTTTTTAAAGGTTTATTGGATTGTAAGTGTACAAAGCAAAAGCAGTTGCAAATGTGATATTCAACGATCTTTCTCGATTCCTTTTATACTTAGAGTTTTTGTGTGACGGCGTTGCAGTTTACTTGCCCGGAATACCGAATTCAGAATTCGAACGTGTTGATGATAATAATCAATGAGGCTTAAGACTATCAAAACACTTTTTTTTTAAATTGATAGATACGTTAAAAGTTATGATAAACCAACAATACGTATTTTGAAACATTAATGTACAATAACTTATTATATACAATATTAAAAAGTATAATAATAAAAAAAAAACTAGATACTTAATTATCATATAGCTCTACTCCCCGCGGTATCGTGCCAAGAACGCTGGCTGCGTTTCCCCGCTGAATGGCTATACTTAGCCTTTGAGCGAGAAAAGAACCAGCCCTCTTATCACCAGCAGTAACGACCAGCCGCAGATGGAGTTCCTTTAGGAACTTCACCGCACGTGGACCCCACGGACCGATAGTATCTACAGCAAATGACACAAATATGTAGTCATCTCTCAGAGAATCATTAATTAATATAATTAAGTTTCTTTTATTATAGTTTTTTTAATATTGTATATAATAAAATATTGTATATCATGTTATGTTTATTAATATCTGTAAACAATTTATATATTACCTCCTATTAAATTTAGAATTCTTGAATGCTCTTGTAGATCTTTATCTTCATTCTG